CCATTTAACTCTGCAGAATTAGCTCACAATGATTTAAATTATTAGTTGAAATGTATCAGCTTGATAAAGAATTATTTAAAATTCATTTTATAAAGCTTATTGCTTAAAAAAGCCACAAATGCAGTGGTTCTGTCACCCTAGAATTAAGAATTTGCTTTGCCTGACGTCCCTGTACAAATAAGTAGTGGCCAGATAAGTCTTAAAATATTCAGAACATTTTTCCAAACATTCTGAAGTGTAAAATGTTCATATTTCTAGTTTTATATACTTTTTTTTCTACCAATTACTCTTTGCTTTAAATAGACTGGAATTATTGAACATAGATTTCAATCAAGTTATTTTAAGGGAAATTATCAGTAGTTTATGGTTAACATATAAAGGAGGATTTCAAAATATATATATGATTCTTGTTACACTAACCTTATTCACAGTTCTATGATTGTATAATACCACCATTTATAAAATAGATTTGTTAGCCAGAAGTAAACAAAACAAAATAAAAACAATAAGGAAAATGTTACAAAGAAGAAAATGGGTTATTTTGCATGAATATTAATGTTGATGAGTAGTGGTTTTAAATATAATTTTATAAAAATGATTTCAATGTATTTGAGGTATAATAATTGATAATAGGATTTGGGACTGTATTTGGCAATAACATCTGCAGAGAATTAGGAATTGACATATGTTTTGTAATCAACAGTTTTCTGATCAACAAAAAACCAAGAGTTAGAAATTAATTTATTGGGAATTTTAATGATATTACAAGAGGAAATATAAGTTTTAAGTTGGAAAAGGAATTTAGAAGAGTCTATGTTGGCAAATTGAATTAAAAAATATTTTTTTTAAAAAGAAATCTCAACAGTCAATATAAAAAGAAAGAAAGATCAGTTTTTAGACTGATGACTTGTAACAGTTATTAAAGCTGTGTTAATTCTTAATTTTGACCTGGAAGAAGAAAATAGGTTGAAAAGGACCATAGGACATAGAGATATAAAAGTTGATCCAGGGAACCTATTTAGGTAATGCTTACAATTAAGTGGGAGATGATGTAGATTGTACCAGACATGTGTATATGAAAGTATGTGTGCGTCCACTTAACCCATGCATAAAGAGTAGAGGGACAGAGAGAACATAATAAATACCTTGATGGGAAAATGAACACATTTCACATATGCCAAGTATTTGAAGCATGCATCTGCAGTTTTTTTGATGACTGAGAAGTTTCATTTACAGTTTTTTAATGTTTACTCTCATGATATTTTGTGAGAAATGGGAAGAATGCTGGAAGGTATGGGTAGAAAAGGGCAAAAACCAACCTATTTCACCAACGTGAGGTAATGACCATTAGCATTTTAGTGTCTTTCCTTCCCATTTTTTTCTATGAATATAGTTTTATGTTTTGGTGATCTTATATATACACATGCACATCAAGAACTGTGAGGATTCTAGATTTTTCCTTATTGGCATGCTAATAGGTTAGTCTGCCTCGGTTTCATGGATGTAAGTAGATGACCAGAGACTTTGAGTTCAGAAACAAAGGACTTCACTGCTCAAGGTGCAGAGAGTAGGATCAGTATATTTATGTCAATTCTCCTTTCCTTAAGTCCCGTGGAAGCAAGGCAGATGGGCCAGACGAATAGCTGTACCTACAGTGGATTGATTACATTGCAAGAGAAGAATCCTCAATCTACGGAATCTGAATCTTTTATAATGGCAGTAACATGCCTGCTCTTTGCTCTGGATTGAGATACTATTATATGAGGGCAGTAAGCATGTCTACCCTTTGATCCAAAGGAAAAAACTACCTCTGTCTTCTAAGGCTATTCACTATACAAACGTTCTGGAAAGATTGTGAGAAAAGAAGATAGTGACTTTGCTTGTAAAATGGGCAGAAATATGAGACACGTGTAGAATTGTCTCTCAACAAATGTTTTCAAAGATCTTTTTTAGTCAGCATTTTACATGCAGACTATAGCTGTAAAGAGTGAAATGTAGAGGGATATCTGGGTGGCTCAGTCAGCTAAGCATCTGACTTCAGCTCAGGTCATGATCTCAGAGTCCTGGGAGTCTGGGATCTCAGAGCCCCACACCCCATGCTGAGCTCCACGGTTAGTGGGGAGTCTGCTTCTCCCTCTCCATCTGCCCCTACTCTTGCTTGCATGTGCATGCTTGCGCTCTCTCTCTCTCTCTCTCTCTCTCTCTCTCAAATAAATACAATCTTTTTTTAAAAAGAGTGAAATGTGGAGATGCAGCATAATTTATGATCAATTCCCAGTATTTCTACCAGTGATTTCTAAGGTTGTTTCCATTTAAAAAAGCATCACATGGACATTTCACTTTGGGGCAGAGTGGGGTAAAATAATGCAATCACCTTAGGTGTGTGGTAGTTAAATTGGAGGAGGTAGCAAATAGGCTCTCTTTGATTTGAAGGCTGTGCTGCCTCTTCAGCTTGGCTTTATGTACAAATATGCACAAGCTGTGAACAGTAAGCATGTCTATTGTCTCAAGATGTTATCCAGAAGGAGACAGGCTGTGTGAAGCTGGATTTGAATGCTGCTGTTGATAGTCCAGGCTGCACTGGTTTTCTTCTGGAAAGTGGACATAGTCCCTGACATTTCTGCTGCTCATATGTCTGACTGAGCCTCCAACAGAAGCTCCTACTGCCTGCCATTAGCAGGGCCCAGAAAAGTCCATACAAATCCCTGCAGTGAAAAGGGAGAAAATCTGAGATCCAAATAATGGCCATCTTGTTCAAACATCTGGAGGGGGGCCTGGTCTGGAGGGGGCCTAGTCTGGGAATTAAAGAAAGATAAAACAGGATCATGACCAGGTTTTAGTCCTGGGACTTGTATGCAAAGAAAATACCCAATACAGACACTTACCCAGTACTGCAACGTCTTATAAGAGGTCTTCTCTCATTTTTAAAAGAATTACAATGCTTTGGGGCACTTGAGTGGCTCAGCTAGTTGGACATCTGGCTTTTGATTTTGGCTCAGGTCATGATCTCAGGGTCATGCCCCAGGTAAGGCTCCGTGCTGGGTGTAGAGCCTACTTGAGATCCTATCCCTCTGTCCCTCCCCCAGCTCTTTCTCTTTCTCTCTCTCAAATAAATAAATACAATTAATCTTAAAAAAATTAAAAATTGGAGTGCCTGAGTGGTGTAGTCAATTAAGTGTCTGACTCTTGGTTTCTTCTCAGGTCATGATCTCATTGATTATGGGATCAGCCCCACATCAGGCTCCTCACTGCTTGTAAGAGCCTCTCCCTCTGCCTCTCCCCCTGCTCATGCTCTTTCTTTCTTCCTCTCTCTCAAATAAATCTTTAAAAAATAAAATTAAAAATAAAAATAAAAAATGAAAGGAAGATTTGTACAGTGATATCTTCAGTCATTTTTTAAAGTACAAAGTAGACATATATTTCTTGAGCAAATGTTTTTGACCCTCACTATGTGCTTAGTGTTCTTTCAGAAGCCAGAGAATTGATGGTGCACAACGTAGATGAGGTTCCAGTTTCATGGAGTGCCAAATCTGGACAACAAATAATGAATGTCTAAGATCCTTTTAAATAGCAAAGAGTTGGGGGATCCCTGGGTGGCGCAGTGGTTTGGCGCCTGCCTTTGGCCCAGGGCGCGATCCTGGAGACCCGGGATCGAATCCCACATGGGGCTTCCGGTGCATGGAGCCTGATTCTCCCTCTGCCTGTGTCTCTGCCTCTCTCTCTCTCTCTGTGACTATCATAAATAAATAAAAATTTAAAAAAATTTAAATAGCAAAGAGTTTTATGAAGAAAGAGTATAATAAGTATAATGTGATACAGTGGCTTGGGCACAAAGTAGAAGGTAGGGAGTCACTGCTAGGTAAAGGAGCTAGAGAGGGCTTTTCTGAGTAAGATACATTTGAGTTGAGACCTGAAGGGTAAAGAACTGTGCGAGGGCATTCCAGTCAGAGGGTATGGCAAAAGCAAAGCTTATGAGGTGAAAATAAGTATAACATTTTCAAGGACTAGAAAGAGTTTGGACACAAAATGTGCTGGAGTCTACTGATTATGGAAGGAGAAGAGGCACAAGGTGATCTCAGAGAGGTGGTCAGGGCCAGTTGGTGTAATGAGTCACAGGCATCAATAAAGGGTCTGGATTTCAAGTCTAATGTGTGACGCAATGGATTTTGCAATCAGCAGAGTGGTAGAATTCAGATTTATAATATTTTTAAAGATTACTTGGGGTTTTGTTCCAGGGAGACCAGTGGGCTGCAGGAGTGAATGCTGGTGGTTAGGAGAAATTTGGTAGCAGTAGATCAGTTTAGGTAAGGAATGTCTTCTGGAGTGAAACCTACTGAAGTTGTTAATGGGTTGTCTCTGGGTAGAGAAGAAAGGGAAGGAATCAAGAATGACTTCTAGGCTTTGTGTTTGGGTTACTCAGTGGGTGGTGGTATAATTACTAGATAAGGAAGACTGAGGAAGGAATGGTATTTGGTGGAATGGCAGGAAAGCATCATTAATTACATTGAAATTGGAAAGGACTACCCTATCGAATATCTATGTCTACCTTCAGAAGAAAATCTTGCATGAAAAAAATGATATTTATATTAAAATTGTTGGCCAGTTTTGTTGGGTTGTCTTGGTGTACCTAGAACTTTACTTGGCAAATGGTGGGTGGGTGGATGGATAGATGAATGAATGGATGGATGGATGGACAGATGAATGGGTGGATTAAAGTGTCCTAGAAGTGAATGCTCAGATTGACTCCCTCCATTTCTAACTTGCAGCTTTGTCTATGAAGTCAATGAAAGATGGCTCCTTCAGAGAAAGCAGTGCATGGGTCTCAGGGGTTCTGACACAAACTACTTTGTCCATTCTGAAAATCAAAGAGTTAGCTTGTCTTAAACATTGTCCATGATTCCATCCCATTAAGACAATGCTCTATGGTTCATTGCAACTATAAATGACAACTTTTTTTTTACACTTTATAAAAATTATCGCAATAATCTTTATTTTACCAGACAGGAAGCGCTGCTTGCGGCAATCAGTGAAAAAGATGCAAATATTGCCTTGCTGGAATTGTCTGCTTCCAAAAAGAAAAAGACACAGGAAGAAGTCATGGCCCTCAAGAGGGAAAAAGATCGGCTCGTCCATCAGTTAAAACAGCAGGTGGGGCCTCCTGCACGAAAGGTGTGTTTTGCTGGTGTGGGGGCTTGGGTGCTTTCTCTGGGTTTAGCTACTCTTCATTCTCCCATGTCCATCGTGCCAGCTCAAACAGCTAAAACCAGGTAGGAATGAAATGGCCCAGGTTGTTGCTGGAACATCACTTTACTGCTTTTCTGTGTTTATGTGCATGTGCCTGAGCTTGTGTGGTTTGCAGCCAGCTCTGTTTTCCTTTCTTTTGTATTTGCATCATCTCCCCAGAAATAGCTCTCAGGTCTCTTCCTTCCAGTGAACTTTGTATGACTTCTGACTAAATTTTACAAACTATGAATTAAATTCTGGGCACTTTCTTTCTCATTGGAGCTATTACCTTCTGTTTTGCTCACTTTCTGGGCCCCATCAGTAACTCTCCTCATCTAGTTCTTTATACTTCTTTCTCTCTATACTTCCAACGTTGATTCTTTAACTAGTTCCTTCAGGACCTTTTTGGCTAAGGAACATCTCCCAGCCCCTAGTACTGCCAGACTATGCTTGGAGACCTCCCCAGCCATTATTTAAACATTCTTTTTATCACCTATTTACCCAGTTATCCATATTTTTCCTCCTCTCTAGGCTTCTCTATTTCTTCTGAGGGAGAAGGAAGAAGGGGCAAAGTCCTAACTTGTATAGAAAGTAGTTCTTTTCTTTTTGGAGGGGTTTCTGAAAGTGGCTTGAATGGAAATTGTACCTGAAGCATGTTACAAAATCATTCCTGAAATCTTCAGACATTATTTCTTCTCCATATATAACTTGGGGGCTTTGGGTAAGCAAATAGTTAAAGAAATTCACTTGGATTCTAGCTTCATGATGAAACCAACTCAGAAAATACTATGGCTCAATGGTCTGTGGTCTCACAAGGTAATAGGTCACATCTTAGTTCTGGGCACATGTGGCTCTGAAGCTTTCTAAATGCCGTATGATACCACATGGAGTGTGTCCACATCAATTTCAGCCTCCAGGACTGGTTCTCTGCCTGCTAGGGTGATCTGGGCACAGTGTACAAGATGAGTGGAAGGGAAGCCAAAGAAATAAACCCTTTCACCTCACAATTGGGCCAATTCTTTCCCTCCTCAGAAAGGAGGAGTCAACCTTTGGCCCTGAACCAGAGTCCATTTCTCATAGGGCTGCCTTGCTGAGAGAGAGAGACCAATGCCATGCCTGGGTGCCCTCTCCTGCAGAGGAGGGTCCCAGTCACTGCCAGACATTGGGGTCATTCCACAGAGCAGCATGCCTCGCTAGCACTGACCCTGGGGGTTGGGAACTGCTTCCATCTGACCTCTTTGTTTGGGGCTATGCATCTTCTACACTGGGCTTTCCACCCACTTGGCCACAGAAAGTCAAGATAAGCCCCTTTCTTTGCTTTCTCCTAACTCCTTCCTGTGAGCCTTGCACCCTCCCCTCCTGCACCTAACCATTGTAGCTTTCTCCCACAGGTATATAGACCTAGGAAACAGCCCCTGAGCTCGAATATACCATGCACTTGTGATGCTGGCTACAGCCCAGATATTACGGCCAAGTACCACGGGTCCAGCTACGATGCATACATGATCCAAAGGTCTCAGGTCAGTCAGCAGCTAAGGAAACACTCGCCCCCACCATGGGGGGTGGGGATGCATAACAGCTACATCTTGCCTTGCCCTTTACCTCTTTTGATGATTTCGAGTAGTTGGTGGCCAAAAATCCTGAGACCATAGATGATAGCATTCTATCTTGATTTGTAAAGTGATTTCATTTATTATGTATTTGCCAAGGGTTCCAGACTTGGTGGCTACCCTCTGGGACCAGCTCTTCTAAAATGGCCTGGCATTACTGCAAAGCCAAGGCTGCCAGAGGCCTTATTGTCAGGCATAGTGGATTAAATTTTTCTTTCTATCTCTTAGATACCTTGCTCCCCAAATCTCCCTTTACTTTTCCAATAAGGAATTTTTTTAAGGCTGTTTTTTCTCTTTCTCAGCATCATGAAAATGCACTCCTGGATTCCAGGAAGGATTGAGTGTAGCCCTTCAATTTGCTCCTGGGAAACGGCACAAAGCCTTCATTATTCACGACAGGCTTGGTTTTGGGTATCATGGGGCACATTTGGGAAACCCCAGCCATGCAGTGTTAGGCTTCTGCCTGAACTAAGGCAGGGTCTGACGGGCTCTTGTGGAAAAAGAGACAGCAAAAGAGAAGGATGGGCTCCTTGATGATTTAGGTTTGAAATCCTTCCCCATACCCTGTAGGCAACAGAGAAGGGGGGAAAAAAAGCAGACAAATTGATGTACTCTTGTTGTAAATGATATGATTCTAAAGACAATGATTAATTGGCTTTAAAAGCACTCCCTTTTTATTGAGTGTTTGTTCTGTGCCAGGATATGTATCCATTGTTTCTCAGGGACTTTGCCCAGTGTCCTCATAGCAGCCCTGTAGTATGGATAGCAGGATCACCTCCCTTTTCCAGGGGGCATAACTGAGACTCAGAGTGTGGAATAAACCAGCCTAAAACACACAGCTTCTAAGCAATAGAGCTTGAGTTTTGGATAGTCTACCTGAGTCCACACATACCCCACCCAGTTCAGGAAAGAATTCAGAGTGACAAGCAGAAGGGTATTCCAGAACCTGGGAGGTCCCCTTATCTTTTTAAGCTTAAAGTAGATGCCAAAATGCCCATTTAAGAATGTACTTAGGCTATTCATAAGGGGTGGGTTCTGCCTAGAGCTCTTAGGTTTAGGCTATTTGATCATATCAGTAATTCCTAATACTTCTGAGTTCTCACCACATGCCAGATGTGGATGTAAAGATTTTACATACACTAACTCATCAACTCCCAACAACACTGAAGGGCTGATGCTCTTATAGGAGGTCCAGAAAGGTTGGGTCCCTTGCTCAGGCTCCACAGCTGGACATTTTATGATATTTGAAAAGACCCTTTTCCACACAACCATAACCGGATTTTGCAGATGCCATCTAGAATTGGACTGCTTAGGATGACTCTTACTTAAGCATTTGTTAACTGTGTGATCGTGGGCAAAATACTAAACCTCCATAAACCTCAGTTTTGTTATCTGTAAATTGGGCTAATAATCTAATTCAAAGTGTTGTGAGTGTATTGTATGTAAAGAGCTTTGCACCTGCCTGGCACATAGTAGGTGCTATAAATGTGTGAGCTGCTACTACTACTACTATTACTACTAATACTACTACTACTACTAATAATAATAATAATAATTGATTTTATCATCACCAACCCTCAGAGATAGTTTGATTTTTATTTCATTGTTGATATTTTTCACAAACCTGGGAGTCCTAACTTATTAAGAACACACTCTTGACTGTGGAAGAAACTGCAGACAGATGTTAGTACCTAAGCCTTCCTGGTCCTCCCTCCCTTAAAGTCCAAGCACTTGGGGAGCAGTGAGCAGTCATGTCAAGAACTGTAGACCCCAGGTCCCAGAGTGCTGAAGAGGCTCATAGTGCTTATTAAATTTGCTTGGTTTGTGTATGCAGTCACATAAAGTGAATCAGAGAAGGCACCCCTGGGAGAACAAGTCTCAGACCTCCACTGTCATTCCTGCATAAGTGACCTCGGAGAGCAGAGCTCTTTCAAGTGCCCAGGCCAATGGGAAGGAAAGGCCTGGTCTGGATGTTCATCTGCCCAATGTACTGTGAGGATACTGAGGCAGACTGGCTCATGAGAGATGCCACCCTCTTCATGCTACCTCCTGCTCAGCTCAGCTCATGCAAGTCTTTCTACTGCCCATGACATTCACAGTGACTGAACATCAGTAGCTCATTCAGCAATCCCCATAGTTATTGTACTTTGCCAAGAACATAGTAGTCACTCTATAAATATTTGTTTTGTGAATAAATGCATGATTACCACATGCCAGGCTCTATGCCACGTGCTTTATGTATACATAAGTTTACAAATATTATCTCACTTTTTCCTCATAATCAACTATCCAACATATTGCATATCTGCCATGTGTCAGGCTCTCTGCCAGGTGCTGGGGATTCATCCACAACATATTTTATTTGCTGCAATGAGGATAGCATCATTCTTATTTTTGAGTTAATCAAACCAAGGTTCCAAGAGACCACATGACACAACTACCATACCTGTACATACATATCTGGTTGTGCAGGGTTGGGCTTCTGAGATGTAGGAGTGCTGACACTTTCCCTTTAGCTAGGCTAACTACTGCATCCTTAAAGCAATAGTGTAAGCCATGGATTAGCCCCCACACCTCACAAATGTTGTCAGAGGAATCAAGTTTGAATGCCTCAGCCTATGGCTTACAAGCTACTCAAGGGCACAAGTGTGAGCGGGTATAGGTAGCTTGGTGAGGCCAAGTGCCATGTTGGGATTTAACTCAACAATATTCATTGAGTGCCTTCCCAGTAATAGAATGGTATGCATTTTTGGAATACATCAGTGACCAAAATAGATAAAGACACCTTCCTTGTGGAGTTTATGTTTTAATGCTTGGGGTGGGGAGGATGGGAAAAAGGCAATAAATCTGAACATCATGAATAAGTAAATCACATGGTAAAAAAAAAAAAAAAGAAAAGAAAGAAAAGTGTAGACCAGTGTAAGGAGAACAGGAGTGTCAAGGGAAGAATTGAGGATGTGGTAACAATGTAAAATAAGGTAGACAGATGGGCCTCATTGAGAAGGAGACACTTGAGCAAAGATTTGAAGGAGGTGAGAGAGTGAGAGCCCTTTAGAAATGTAGAAGAGTGTTTTGGCAGAGGGAATCACCAGTGCAACGCCCTAAGGCAGGAACATGCTGCTGTGTTTGGTGAAGAAAAGGGAAACCAGTGTGGCTGGAGTAGAATAGACAAGGAAGTGAAGAGGTTAGCTGTCAAAGCAGTAATGAGGTGCAGATAGGACGTATAGGACTTTTGTGCAAGATCTGCTGAGAGTGGTACATTCTAGAGGAGAAGTTCTCTGCAGTTAGGAAACAAAATACATTAGCTATGCAAACTCAGAGCAAGGAGGGCTTTTGGGTACCACTCAGAGTGCCCTAAGGCTGCCCTACTTGAGTCTACTCTCCAGATCCCCTGCCGTTAGCTACTAAGGAGTCCCAGTGCTTAGCTTGCATTTTTAAAAAGCATTTCCATTTCCACTGGAGCCATGAAGAACTAATGCCAAAATTTGCTTGTCATGGCTAGTGAGAACTTTTGAGTAGGAACAGAACCCTTTGATGAAATATCCTCCCTGACTTTCTGGCAATCTCAACAGTATACTACTGAAGTCTAAATCCTGCATTCTCCTTACCATAAGGAGGTAAGCAGGTGGTCAGGAATGGTCATCATCATGCCATTGGCCTACTCAGGGTGATGGCTATGCCTAGGAGAAGTACAGCCTGCCTCCAGGCCGAGACAGAGATTCTCAAATCTCACTGGACAAAAGCTTGGTCTTTTTTTTTTTTTTTTTAAGCTTGGTCTTTAGAAAAGATAAATCTTATGATACACTTATCACTCTCCAGCCTTATTTCTCAAAAATCTTCCCTGGCTTCCTTTACTGGAAGGATAAAATCAAATTCAAACCAATATGTGCTCTGCTTTGTACATGCAATGCAATCCCCTCTGCCTAGAATACATTTCCCTCTTTTCCTTACCTAGTTAATAGCCATTTACTCATTCAATCTCAATCCAACACCACTTTTCTCAGGGAAGCTTTCTGGAACTTTCTCAATTGGGTAAAATCTCTAGTTTGACACTCCTATAGAATGTGTACATCACTTATTGCACTGTAACATATGCAATTTTGCATTTGTTCTTTGATCATTTGAATGGTAACTATCTGCCCTGCTAGTTTATGAGCCCCAGGAGGACTAAGAACGAGACTCTGGGACTTTTTTGTTGTTGACCATTTATCTCCAGGCCTAGCACAATTGCTAGCACATAGTGGGCATATAGTAAATATTTGTTGAAAGTATAAATTCATAAGTGAGTGAATTACCAGGGCAGCTTATTTTAAAAAGAGACATTATTGATCAGTCATGACTTTGACAAAACTTAGTCTTATGATTCTTCTCCCCCCAATATTCCAGGCAGCCACCACCTATAGGAGTTGGTAGAAGATATGAGACTTGTTTGCCAAATGATGAACACAAAATGTTGTCATGTCCTTTCCTGCCATGATGTAAGACATTTTACAGAGATTGCCTTTTTCCGTACTTGAATAATGTGCAATTGTGGCCATTTTGAACCTTTCTTCTGAATCTATTCACTGTATTTTAGTTCAGATCCCCTCCAAATTTGGGGATTCGTCTTGGAATTTCCAGATGTGGCAAAGGTTACTTGTTGTTATGAAGGGAGCTCTTCTACTTCATCCCTGAAAAACTTCTGAGTGTCATAAATCAATTTGCCTAGAAATACCTAAACTCCTGTTAAACATCTGTCAGGAGAGCTAGAGAAGGTGATATGAAATGAGTTCAGAAATTCCAAGTATGCTTAACAACAAAAGAATCTTTATGACACTCTTCAGGTGTTGACATTTGGGTTGGTTCTAGGCTAAGCAAGGTATAAAGCTGAGAGAGCAGTACAAATTAACTTTCTGTTGCATAAAAAAAGA